ACACCTAGCACCCAGATTTTGGTTTCTAATACAACTTTCCAGAAATGACTGATTCTAGAACTGGGGAAGGAAATAAACCAGATGAGCCTGGAATATCTTATAGTGCCAGAAAGTAAGAAGTGCTCAAAGAACCAAAAAAAAAAAAAGAAAAGATCAAGGTATGTTAAAGGGACACAGAAGCCAACTGAAAGAACTCCCAATGGCCAAAGTTGGAACACTTTGAGAAGCAAAAGATAGTAGTATTGGATTATAGCCTAAAGTATAAAATGTGCCCACTGTGATATAAATAAACGACTGAATAGATAGATTAGATAGATAGATGAGAAGAGACAAATCTCCTGTGCGTAAGAACTCCGAAGAATTTATGTGTATACTCTGCACTCAAAGAGGTGGAACATAATTCCCTATGCCTTACGTTTGGGCTACGCATAATGACTTCCTTCCAAGAATACAGTATGGAAAGAGGGAGAACTGAGTAACTTTATAATGGAAAAACCTGCACTACCTCAGCCAGGTGACCAAGGTCGACATCAGCAGTGAGAAGGTATGTTAAGAGCATGTGCCCTTGAAATGATGTCACGAGAATGACATAACCCATAACTCAGGCCTATCGTGAGAAAAATATCAGACAAAGTCTAATTGTGAGATGTTTCCTGACCAGTCCTCCTCAACATTGTCAGTCATCAAAAACCAGGAAGTCTGAGAAAGTGTCTCAGCCAAGAGGAGCCTAAGGAGACGTGACGACTAAATGCAGTGTGGTAGCTTGGATGGGATCCTGGGACAGAAGAAGGACGTTGGGTTAAAACGAGGAGAATATGAATAAAGTATGGATTTTAGTTAATAATAATGTATCAATATTGTTTCATTAAATGTAAGCACTATTGTGTAACATGTCAATAATAGGGGACACTGAGTGTGGGGTACATGGGAGCTCTCTATAGTATCTTTGCAAATTTTCTATAAATCTAAAACCATTTAAAAATGCTTATTATATGTATGTGTATATATGTGTATATATATAAAGACCAATCATTAGAAAAGGACATCATGTTTGATAAAGTAGAGGGTCAGGGAAAATGAGGGAAACTCTCAGTAAGATGGATTGACACAAGAGCTGCAACAGTGGACTCAAACACACCAATGACTGTGAAGATGGCATAGGATTGGGCAACATTTTGTTCTGTTAATAAGATCGCCATTAGTTGCAGCCTACTCAGTGGCAGCTAACAACAACTCTGTGTGTGTGTGTGTCTACAGTCATGCACCGCATAACATCCGTATGGGCAACGTCCAACCGCATATACATCCATGGCCTCATAAGATGATAATAGAATTCAGAAATCCCCATCAGAGAACGGGATGTAGCGCATGTAACCAGGTGTAGCAAACACAACAGCTTCCCGCACACAACGTGTATCTTAAGTGTCTTGTATACAAAGCGATTGCACTGCCAGATGTATAATGGTACAGTACATATATAAATTACAACATATATCTTGATAGTTGTAATAAACGCCTATGTTACTGACTTATGTACTGTACCATACTGTACTTTCTATCGTTATTTTAATGTGAACTTTCCCTACTTACAAATAAAAAGTGTATGCTTCGACTCGTAGGCGGCGGCATCCAATCTCATGTATTGCACATCTCTTGGGCATTGTAGCCTTATCCCTCTGTTTAACTTTCTTTTGAAAATATTAACCATGAAGTGCATCATGGCTCCCAAGCACATCAGAACCAGTGCTAGTGATAGCTGCAGCAAGAGGCAAAGGAGAAGTATCAGTCTGGAAGTGAAACACAAGGTATCCCATGTAGCTTTGCTAAGTATATAATGTGGTGTCTGCACAATGCCCAAATCACATAACGTACTGTTTTACAGAATGTAGTGGACGTTAAGCAATGCATGACTGTATGTGCATCTGTATGTGTGTGTGTGTATGTATATATATAGTTGTTACGAGGATTAAAGGAGAAATTACATGAGAAGTTCTTTACAAAGTGCCTAGCACATGATATATGGTCCACAAAACACTATTTGACTATCTAATGCCTTTCTCTGCTGTTCTTCCTCATGGTATGCCTTGAAGGAGTTACTTGTGTTGTCTTTCCTCCAGGATGAACCCAGCTGATTTAGTTTCTGATAGCTGTTACTTGTCTTCTCTGTGCTGAGAAGCTTAGAACATTCTCTCGGTGTTTCTAACTGAGCATTTTCACCTTAATTGACCCTATCTGAATTGCATCCATTTTATTTTTCTGTCTAGTGATGAAGAGACACCACATAATAACTGAACTCACATGGTGGTTACCTTGGTGTAAGTCTACCAGGTGCTTCTGATTAGAGTGATTGCATCTTAACTTCCTTTGAAAATGCTTCTCGAATATATGAGGCCCCTTTTTGGTCTTGGTAAGGAGAGCAGAGAGACATCATGCAGCAGATCCTCATTTGTTATTTCTAAGGGTCATCAGAAACTCCTGTTGAGTCGATTCTGACTCATAGCGACCCTATAGGACAGAGCAGAACTGTGCTATAGGGTTTCCAGGGCTGTAAATTTTTACAGGAGCTGACTGCCACAGCTTTCTCCCGCAGAGCGGCTGGTAGGTTCGAACCTCTGACCTTTTGGTTAGCAGCCAAGCGCTTAACAACTGTGCTACCAGGGCACCTTAAGGGTCATAATAAGGTGCAAAATTATAACAAGTCAGGGAAAGTTTTCTTTAGGCATTGGGGTTTAGTGCTTGACTACTAACCAGAAGGTTGGCAGGTTGAATCCACCCAGAGGCATCGCTGAAGAAAGTCCTGATGGTCTACTTCTGAAGGATCACAGCAATTGGAAACCCCATGGTGCGGTTCTACTCTGGCCCACATGGGGTCTCCATGAGTTGGAATCTACTCGAGACAACTTTTTTTGTTTGTCTGTTTAAGCAGTACCTTACTATGGAGGTGGGTAAGATATCTCTAGGGCTAGGGTGTGCGGAGAAGAGAAACTGTCCTCTCGTGTTGTGAGCAAGACGTTGGTCCCACGGATTCCTCTGTGGTCGTAACTGCAAAAAGTTATATGTGTGTGTGTGCACGCGCCTGTATGTGTGCACACACGTGCATGTGTGTATTCCTCCTCTCAAGTTGGCAAAAGCAGGAGTAGCAGATTACAACCCAGATCATACACTCTCTGCACTGTACTTACTGCCCAATGTGTCTACTTTTTTTGGATGCCAACCTGGGCTTACCACCCACCTATGCCTTTGTCTCTTCTTAGCTGTGTATATTTGTGAGAAAAATCATGGGGCAACTGAGTTGCCAGATCTGATCCAGATACCTGTCTAATAAAATGACAGTAACATTTAAAAAGCCCAGTTGTAAATGTCTGTTTAATCTTTCTTGATTGCTGCCTTGAAACTGGATTTCAATATTTCTGAATATTCAGCACCTGGAAGCTAGGACAGAATGGCTATCTCAAACTGCCAGAAATTTGCTTCCCGTGGTTCTGAATGTGAAAGCAGGAACGTGACTTTGGGGCAGTGTCTTCTCTTCTTTGGTGAGGGATTACTTTGGTTGGTGCTCTTGGTCATGGCCACTTGAATTAAGTAACTAGTCCCTACCCTTGAGGTCACTGAGGACTTGGGAGAAATAATCCCAAAGCAAATACTTCATAATGGAATATTAAGTGTTCTGTTTAATAATATAAAAGGCTGTCCCAAGTGGTGAGGAACATTTCGACAGATTTTTTCTTTTTCTTTGTTGAAGTCCTCATAGGCTTGGAAACGGGTGAGCGTGGCGAGTGGGGTCTGGGGCTGGCAGAGCAAAGAGTTGGGAGAAAGGGCTCTGGCTGGATGGTAGGCTTGGAGGGGTCAGCTCTTTAACTAGATAGGCTAGTGTTTGGACTGTATTTCTAGAAAGAAAAAAAAAGAAAAGACCTGCCATTAAGACATTAGTTAATTAGTTTACGAATGTTGTTGGGCATTATCTACGCACTTCTAAGGCTGTTTGCGGCCTGAAATTTCTATTAATTAAACCTGCTGCCGTCAAATCGATTCCGACTCGTAGTGACTCTATAGGACAGAGTGGAACTGCCCCACCAGGTTTCCTAGGCTGAAATCTTGACAGGAGCAGACTGCCACATCTTTCTTCTGCAGAGCAGCTGGTGGGTTCGAAACGCTGACCTTTCGGTCCGCAGCTAAGTGCTTTAACCACTTGCACCATCAGGGCTCCTGAAATTTCTTTTGAAGCTCTGTAGAAAACCAGAGGGGTGAGTGGCCAGAGGGGTGAGTGACTGTAGCCTTGGAGTCCTTTCTGTTTCAGTGCACACTGGCCTAAGTTTCAACTGCCAGCACTTCCATCTCATTGACTGTGGGTCTCTCTGGTCACCAGAGCCCACGCTGCCTAGGAATGTGGCAGGTTGGGAATGCCAAGGAATTCATGTCTCCCAGAAGCAGCCCTCAACCAATGACTTATGAGAATTGGCATATAAATACTAAAGGACCCCCTTGCCCCCAGATAGGAAAATTCTGAGGCATGCATTCTACACCATTTACCAGAATTCCATAGATATCAACTCCAAATTTCTTTCCAGAACTGGTTCTTTCAGTCCTTTTACTATTTGCCAATCTCTTGGCAAAGGAGTGGCTTCTCATCGTTGTTCTTCCTTGCATTTTCTTGACTAAGGTTAAACGTCTTTTTATACATACATTGTTTTGATAACAAAAGTAACCCCTAAAATAATAAGACTGTAACATGTTAATTTAGGGGGGAAGTGGAGAAGTTCTGGGCACATCCTTTGCCTTTTGAGGTGACCTTGGAAGAACACCCTATCCATTTTTTATTGCTCTCCAATCAAGATGATGGAGTCCATTGTTTCTGATGTTTCTGCACACCCTGAGCTGTTCTCCAACTCTCATCCCCAAACGTGGGGAGAGCTCTGGTTTTGAGGGGTGTGGTGATGGTGTGTGTGGATAGACGGTTCTGCCGTGGGTGTAACCATCTTCCTCTGTCTCTTCATTTCCAGACACCACCCAGATGAACAACGCGGTGCCGACTTCTCCTCTGCTCCAGCAGATGGGCCACCCGCATTCATACCCCAACCTGGGCCAGATCTCCAACCCCTATGAACAGCAACCACCTGGCAAAGAACTCAACAAGTATGCCTCCTTAAAGGCAGTCGGTAAGGGCTCCTGAATGCATCTGCCTCTTTCTTTCTCTCTCCTCTTTTCTTCTGCTTCTTCTAGAGCTCTTTCTTTTTTCCTTCTCCTTTCTCTGTCTCTCCTTCTCTCCTTCCTCTCTTCCTCTTCTCCTCCTGCTCCTCCTCTCTCTCTGTCTCTCTGTCTTCTCTCCTTGTTCTCTCTCTCTTTGTCTCTGTTTCTCTCTCTCTCTTTCTGTCCCTCAACCAGAGCCATTGGGCTACTTTCTCAGACCCAGATCAAGTCCTGCCTTTGGTGTTTGGTGGCAGGGAGGGTGGGTGGGGGGCACGCATGAGAGCTGCTTCCTTGGGAGGACCTGGATGCTCACTTGGTCCCAGTGACATCCCAGCCTCTTCGTTGTCCACTGTCTGCCCTCATGAATCCTCAGGGAGAACCTAGACCTAGAACCCAGGTCTCTCAGTCTCAGGAAAGCTGTGCCCTTAAGTGGGTAACACCCTTTATCCCACAGTCCCTTCCATCTCTGAGAAGTCGGTAAACCATGCACGTTCCTACCGCAGACAGCTGCTGCTCTTCAGGATGTAAATACTTACTGGGAAGGGCAGCCTGGAGCTACTAGTAATAGAGTTCTTACCAAGTGGAGCACACTACCGTACTTTCCTGCAAATAATGCACGTGTTATACCCTTTTTTTTTTGCCAGACACACCCTCCCCCCTCACCTAGTAAATACTATGCTAATGTTTTACATGTTGCTGTAAAAATAATTAGCATAGCACACTTAGTAAAATACCTGGGTTGGGGAGAGGGTATAGTTGGCAAAAAAACATACAACACACATGTTATTTGTGTAAAAATATGGGAATCTCATTTTCTCACAGCATCCGGAGAGGAAGGCACAATTATTATCCCAGTTTTCAGATTGGGAAGCTAAGACTCAAAGAAGCTAATTTAACTTGCTCCAGATCAAACAGCCTGTGGGCGACAAAGCTGAGACTTGAGCATTGTATTTTGATCACTCCATCACTCTGGAGTCTATGCTCCTGCTGTTGCCCCCCCCATACACATACACTGCCCTGGCTCACTTCATTTCATTTCCCCTGCTCGTACATGAGGGGTATGACAGTGACCCAGGCTCCTAAGCAGTTTACTCAGAAGAGTTCCATTGGATGGAAGCAGCAGCCTCAGCAAAGTCAGTGATTCCTGGTTCCTGACAGGCTGCAGCAATCCCAGGCTTCCCTCAGCCAATGATTCTCAGCCGTGGGTGCATGTTCTTAGAATCACATGGAGAGCAGCTAAAAAATCCTGATGCCTTGGCCCCAGCCTAGAGATTTTGATTGAATTGGTCTTAGATGGGGCCCAGACGTGGGTGTTTTTCAGAACCCTCTAGGTGATTCTAGTAAAAAGCCAAGGTTGAGAGCTGTTGGTGGAAAACCATTTGGTCAGCTAAGCATCCAGGAAAACCAAATCCTGTGTCACGTCCTTGCTCTGAGCTTTACCTTCTAGACACTTGCTTCCTGTCTGCACTCCTGTGCACTCCTTTGTTTTTTAGTGGTGTTGAAAATATACACAAGAAAACATTCTCCGTTTCAACAATGTCTACACGTACCGTTCAGTGGTATTGATTACACTCTTCATGTTGTTAACTATTATCACTGTCCTTTTCCCAATTATTCCACCACTGTTCATATAACCTCGATGACCCCTAAGAGGAAACTCCTCCTTCCCCCACAACCCCTGCCCCTGGTTTGATATATAATAATCTTGGATTTCTGTATATTTGCTTATTTCATATAAATGAGATCATACAGTATTTGTTCTTTTGCGACTTGTTTTGCTCAGCATGGTGTTTTCAAGGTCCATTGATGTTGTGGCATGCCTCAGGACGTGATTTCTCTTTATGGCTGAGTCATGTTCTGTTGTACGGACATAAACCACATCGTGTTTTATCCATTCATCTGTTGATGGATGTTTCGGTTGTTTCCACCTTTTGGCTCTTGTGAAAAGTGCTGCAGTGAACATTGGTGTCCAGGCTTCTGTTTGCGTTCCTGCCTTCACTTCTTCCCTAGGATTGGGATTGCTGGGTCATATTGTAATTCTATGTTCAGCTTTTTGAGGAACCGTCAAACTGATTTCCACAGCAGCTGCGCCATTTTACATTCCCGCCAGCAGTGGATGAGGGCTACTCCTGTACATTCTTAACACAAGGGGGAATTCCTCTCCTTTCCTCCTCACTGTGTCCCGAGACTTCTGTTGTTATTGCCAGTCTCGTAAGAGAGTTTTTAAACCAGGCTTTCTACTTAATCCGTGCCTTCTCTGAGCCTGCTTCTCAGGGAGATGGTTCAAATCCTGGCTCTGCTACTTCCTATTGGTGTGGCTTTGGGCAATGCTAAACACCTCTTTATGCCTTGCTCTTTTCATCTGTAAAATGGTCATAAAGGTGCCTGAGGCTAAGATGAGATGACCCTTACTAAGGCCTGACAAAGAATATGTGTTCTGCATATATGAATCCCCTCCCTTCTCCACAGCCCCGCAGCCCTGTTACTATAGTTCCACAGATGAAGCTTTTCCTTTCCTGATTTCCATCTCAGAGCTCAGATCTCCTGGAAAGGTGTTCCTTTCAGCAGTCTTTAAACATTCCCCTTCTCAAGCATGTAGTCCTCCCCCTTTCAGCAGAATTGACTGTCAGAATCCCTGGAGTAGTGAAATAAGTCACTTTGGTGGGATCCCGTTTTACCAATGCAGGTCCTTCTGCTCTTTAGCTGTTTGTAAGAACAGTACTGTCCACATGCTGTTGGTTCCTGGGAAACTTTGGACAGGCAAAAGACTCCACAGACCACCTGCTTTCTTTGATTATCAGCTGCTCATCCCCTCTTCTTCCCCCACTGCCAAGCCCCTCATTGGAAATGGCATGGAAGATGCTTGCTGAAGAGATTCCGGCATGTAATATCCTAATTCCGTTACCAACTAACGTTAGGAGCCAAAGCACAGACACTGTCACGTGTCTGTGGTGTTTGTGGTAGCCGTGATCTACAAAAATCAGATTCACAAAACAAACATACAGTCATCTAGTATAGTGCCAGGCACATAATAGGTGTTTAGTAAGTGTTTGTAGGTGCCTGGTAAGTGTTTACAACAGAAGTCTATCTTTAGGAATTCCCATTCCCCTATCTCCCAGGATTCCCAGATGGAGCCATTCAGAGGGGCTTGAGTTGACTTTATTGTACAGGTTGTGCAGACAGACATATGATTTCCTAAATCCAAAGCCTCCTAAGACTTTACATACCAGTTATTGATGTTTTGTGCTGAACTTCTATGCCTAACTCAATCCTCATCTACCCCGTGACACAGATTCTCTCCATTCCATATTGTGTGTTTGCATAGCATATGCATCCTAAGCATATTCAAATATACTCAAATATTACTAGGAATGGATGAGGGCTGTTGCCTTGGAGAGCAAGAGTCAGGGCATCTGCCGATGTGCCTGCGGAAGCCTTCAGACACTGTTAGGTGGCCTGCCTCCCGTTCTGAGCCTTGCAGTTAGGTGAAAGATAGTGTCTGCTGTTACATTTGATTCTTCTTTTGGCATAAAAAAAATCAGCCCAGATGTATTTGTCTTTTTGAATTGGTCACACTACAATATGCAACACCTTTCTTCAACTTAGGCTCAGTGTCTCCTCTATACCCGGTCACTCTTTAGATAAATAATGGATGGATATTCCAACAGAGCTCCTTGGTTATCTCAAGGATTTATGCAGGGCTTTTTTACATAGCAAATATCTGCAGTGCATTTGGAATTAAATTTGCAGTATGGAAACAGAGTTGACACTTTTTGAGTCACCCTTTCCTCCATAAATTGGGAACTCCTGAAATGTTTACTGAACAAATGAATGAGCTTGCCTTTGACAAGAATCAAAGATGGCTTGGTTGTAAGGAGCCTGGTGGTGCAACAGTTAAAGTGTTAATGGCTGCTAACTGAAAGGTTTGTGGTTCAGATTCATCCAGTGGCTCTTCGTGAGAAAGATGTGGCGATCTGCTCCCATACAGACTTCAGCCAAGAAAACCCAATAGGGCAGTTCTACACATGGGGTCACATGGGGTCCCTATGAGTTGAAATCAACTTGCTGCACCCAGCAGCAACAACAACAAGGGAGCAGCACCCCTATGTCTTCTAGAAAACCCTGAAGGATCCCACGTGGAGAACCTTCCGCAATCCTGGATATAGTTGATGTGCTCTCCTTCTTCTCTATCCATCCTTCTCTCTGGTGTGGGAGTGCATGGGCTGTATGTGAGTCACAGATGATCATGTCAGCCTTTAGCGAGTGGAGGGTCAGTGAGGAGAGGAGCAGACTGAGGGACTGCCTGACTCAGTCATTTGCCCAGGAGCCTGGCTCTGCCTGCACAAATGAAATGCAAATCCCATAATAAATGTTCTTTCAAGGGTTCTTTATTAAGGCATAATGTGATCACGGTATGAATGATGAAATGCATTCCATTAATGAAATCATTACCACCCAGGAGAAAAGTTGTTTAAAAAATGGTTTGCTGTTAAAAGTGCCGCAGCCTCTGATAACCAGACTCATTTTCTAAAAATTCAGTCTAGCGACTCAAGGGAGGGTGGGACAGCTGTTAGGGTCAACTACCAAATTCAGAATTACCTCCGGGAAATAAAGTCCTCTTAGCGGCTTTAATATCTGAATATCGGGTGGGTGGTCAGAGGCTTGATCACAGCCTGGGCTCCAACCTTACTCACTTGTGTGACTTTGAGGTGGTCACTGACGCCCTCTGGGTCTTAGTTTCTTCATGATAAAAACGAGCAAGTCAAACTATATAGTCTCCAAGCACAGTTCTAATTTTAAAATTAGAAAATTAAGCAGTTCCACTCGTTCTAGTTCAGAATACCCGTGGGCCATTAAACATGTCCCATTCTTGCACTGCCAGGCAAAATTCGGGAGCTCAACAAAGGAAAAAAAATGGTTGTAACCATTGGGTGTTCCTGAGACCAATTCTCCCCAAACCTGCCTACCTTTCTATTTTATTTTGGTTTGTTTGCTGAAGTCACTGTCACTTGTGTTTAAAGAGAGCTCCTTTCTCTCTATAATTCAGGGATATGGGCATGTGACATCTGGTCATATATAGCATGTGACCAGAGAACCATCTCTCTACCTCTTTTCCCACATATTGCTCAGTTCATTCATTCATTCTGTCACTCATTCATTCTCCAAACATTCAGTCTGGTGTCTTTTAATTGTATGTCCCATTGAGGTGTGGCCCAGGTCTGTCCCATTCAGCAGTGTATCCCCAGCACCTAGCATGACATGGGCCACTTAGTAAACACTCCCAATATGTATTCATCAAACTAGTGAATTACGCCATGTGATAGGCACCATATCAAGCAAGGAGCGTGAGATGATCAGCAAGATGGCAGAATCTAGCATGGCCTCTGGAATCAGTCAGGACCGTGTTTGAGACAGAGCTCGGATATTTATTACTTGCAGAAATTACTTGACCTCCTCAAGTCTTAGTTTTCCCACCTGTAAAATGGGGCTAATAATAACGCACGGCCCACAGCTTGTTGGGAAGATTTAGCAGTATAGTATATGTAAAGTGCTCAGCACAGCCGTCTGCACCTAGGCAACCCTTGGTAAATACCGTGGCATATTAAAGTCTCCAGACCAGTCATATTCTTCCTCTGATCTCCAAGATACACTGGTAGCTTGATTAACATGCGGTTGTCCAGATTTCATTTTGGAGAAAGAGAAAGTTAGATCCACATTCTTCATTCCAGTTTGATGGGAAAGACAGATGACATGAAAACTAACTGCTCTGGTGATCTGATATAATAAACAAGCAAGCAAACAGCAAATGGCTCCTTTCAGCTGCCCTAGGGACCAGCAAAGAGTCATCCCAAATCCTTACATTTTCCACATGGATGGTGCCAACAGCTAAGTGCTCGACTGCTAGCTGAAAGGTTGGCAGTTTGAACCCACCCAGAGGTACCTCAGAAGAAAGACCTGGCAGTCTGCTCCACAAAGGTCCCAGCCTTGAAAATCCTATGGAGCAGTTCTACTCTGCACACATGGCGTCGCCATGAGTTGGAATTGACTCGATGGCAGTCAATGACAATAGCAACACCGTCTGGACAATGAAGGTCAATGCCTAGATGTATGACGTACTACAATCCGTCAAAGGAAGATTCAGTTTTGCTCCACTGAGTCTTCTTACTAAATCAAAAGTGTGGGTCTAACCATTTCAGAAATATTTTCAACCACGGTGGAAGTCAAGAAGTTTTTTTCTTTTAGACGTAGCTGAAATTTAACCTGAAAATTCAGTTAAGCACAAGCTTCCATGCCTGAGCCATGTGTGATGGGTGGTGTTACCACGTGAGAACCCACCTTGGGATTCTTCATCTCTCAGTGTTTGCAGGACAGAGGGTGTTTGTGAAAACATCTAGGAGGTCACCTGATGACTCAGTAAGGGATGGCTCCTGCCTCGAGGAAAAAGACCACCATCCTGTTATCTCTGGGGAGATGGACTTGGCCAATAGAATCTGCCTGCACCTTGGCCTTTATGCCCTCTTGGATCCATACCCAGTGTTTTCCTGTAGTAGTAGTCTCTGAGAGTTTAACTCCTCAGACCTCCTGAGGCTCCAGACAGCATACCTTTTGGATGGTTCTGTGCAATCATGGCTACCTAGTGACAGAAGGAGACGGAAGGTAACTTCATTACTGATAAAATCCAATTTGTTTCGCAAAATATCGTTGTTTTAAATTAAAAAATTTAGGAAGAAAACATTTTCTCTGCTGCCATTGGACAAATCGGTATGGCTAATTTGCCAGAAACGGGTTACATTTTCCAATAAGCCCTTTTGCAAACCACAGCAACCGTGTACTTCAGCGTGGCATGAATTCCCTCTTCACTCTTGCTGCAGGAATCGTGTGAAAATCCTACGAGGTGCATTAGACTGCCCTTTACAGATGGACTACTATGAGTTTAATTTAAAGAAAAGGTAGAGCATAAATGGCGCATCCCAACGTTTTGCATATGGGGAAACTGAGGCTCATTATAGTTAATTCATTTTCCCAAAGTCACATTTTTTAGTAAATAGCAAAGCCAAGAGTCATTCTCAAGACTGCCTGACTCAGCATCCTGTGTTCTTTCCATAAAATGATGCTGTCTTTCACAGAGCAATTCCTAGCAGCTGACGGATATAACTAGGCAAAAGCAAGATTTGGGAAACCCCCATTAGGAGGCATTTTAAAAGGCATTTAACTTTTCGCCCACCAAAAATTTATTTGAGGAGTCTGGGTGGTGCAAGTGGCTTGCAATAGCCTACTAACCCAGAGGTTGGTGGTTCGAACCCACCCAGTGGCTCTGCGGAAGAAAGGCCTGGCAATCTGCTTCCTTAAAGATTACAGCCAAGAAAACCCAGTGGAGCAGTTCTACTCTGTAACACATGGAGTTGCCATGAATCGGAGGCGATTCCACCCCAGCTAACAACAATAACAACAGAACGTAGTGAGACCTGAACTCTGCATTTGGTAGCCTGTGTGCACTCTTATTAAGCGCCCTCATTAGCATAGATTTATGATGCAAAATCTTCTACCTTGCCAGACTAAGCCCTGCCTTAGGTGCTGAGGACAGAGGTGACAAAGGCATGTTCCCTGCCTTTAAGGCTGACAGTGAGGGATTTGACTTTGGTGTCACATGGCTTCCTTAGGGTCAGGGACTCCGTCAGCCTCGAGTCCACCCACACAGAAGATCTGGGGCAGCCTCACTATTTCCAGATGACAATGACTCTGCCTCCTGGGTGGGGAAGGGTGGTCACACTTAATTTTAACTTGGTCATTTTTCTCCTGTCACTCCAATTTCCTCTCCTTTGTGAGTGATGAGGGAGTAGAGTTCAGCTCCGCAGGGGGAATGTGGCAATTTGAGTGTCCTTTGAACACACGCCCAGGAGGCCAACAGAAAAGTTTAAATGGGGCCTGATCTGTGCTCTGTAATCATTCCAACAACAGCCTGTTCCCTGTGTCTCCTCTCAGCCTGATATGTGTGGAAATTGTGCAGAAATGTTGAGGACTGGGTCTTTCCAGGTAGATTCCTAAGAAAGGAAAGGATAGCTAGTAGCACACGCTGATTGGGCAAACCTCCAGCCAATGGGCAGAGACATAGGCAGGTTTGCCTCGCTTTAGGTAAAACCCAGTCTTACAGAGAAGGCTTTTAAGGAGGGGGTGGGCTGTGCCCAGCGGTCATTCTCACCATTCTTTTTTTATGCAAGGAGTCACCATGGTATTCTGCTAATAACCCGAGACCCCCTTAGGGCTCTTTCAATACATTTGACACGGAATTCAATTTGGAGACTGTGATTTATCGCCAAAATGTCCGGCGCACATCCGTTCCGTAAAGCAATACCTTACTCATTATGGGAGTCTAAAATAACAAGCTTGATCCCTTTAGTGTTTAGGGGAATTACCTTAGAGGAGCCCTGGTGGCGCAGTGGTTTAGTGCTTGGCTGCTAACCGAAAGGTCTGCAGCTCGAACCTACCAGCCACTCATTTCCTTGAAACGAGGGAACTTAAAAGACGTTGCTGGGCTATAGGCTGGATACTGGCATGGCCCTTTTTGAATTCTCAAAAGTTGTTCTCGCTTCCAAGTGGAGACAGGAATAGGGGAGAGTAGACTGGAGTTAAGGAGCCTTCGTGGCGCAGTGGTTAAAGCGCTCAGTTGCTAAACGTTGGAAGTTGGAACCCACTAGCTGCTCCTCCAGAGAGACATGTGGCAGTCTGCTTCCATAAAGATTTACAGCCTTGAAAACCATATGGAGCAGTTCTACTTGTGTCTTAGAGGGTCACTATGAATCAGAATCGACTCAATGGCAATGAGTCTCGTGCAAACGGTTAATGAGCTTGGCTGCCAACTGAAAGGTTGGAGGTTCAAGGCCACCCAGAAGCACCTTGGAAGAAAGGACTGGTGACCTACTTCCGGAAAAATCAGCCATTACAAACCTTAGAGGGCATAATTCTTCTCTGACACACATGGGGTCACCATTAGTCGGAAATGACTCCATAGCAACTGGTTTAAAAAGAGTGACTATATGGAGAAAATGCAATTCATCCATTTATTCAACAATAATTTTCATACACATACTGTGTGCCAGGCACTGGGTAGATCAGTCCACACCCCATGGGACTTGCTACCCAGCATTTAAAGCTGCAGTCAGCAGCACCTGCCTCAGGCTGATAATGTGCCCCTTCTTAGGAGGCGGATTGCAATAAACCGGGATCAAAACTTACCTCTTGTCAGCAGAGAGTTGGCACTAGCCAAAGTACCTTCATGAAACCCAAATAGTTCTTTCTTAGAGGGCTGAAAGGTAGTCTGATTTAACCCATTTCTATTGCCGTCAAGTCAATTCTGACTCATAGCGACCTTATAGGACAGAACAGAACTGCCCCAGAGGGTTTCCTAGGCTGTAATCTTTGTGGAAGCAGCAAATAGCCAGCTCTTTCCTCCTGTGGAGCAAATGGTGGGTTCGAACCGCTGACCTTTGGGTTAGCAGCTGAGCTCTTAACCACTGTGCTACCTGGGCTTCTTAGAGTTACTGCTTAAGAATTCTCTCTCTGGTTCCTATAATGACAACATCTAGGCCTATTTCAGAGGGTCTCTTTTGATCTTTAACTTGACACTGCTTTAAGACCTTGCAGAAAGAGGTGCACCCCTAGTTTGTTTGTTTGGGTTTTTTGTTTTTTTTTTTGCACACTTGGTCCCTTCTCCCTTCTCCCTGGTCCCTGCTCCCCCTGAGGCCTGTCCCCCTTGGAGGCTGCAGCTGGGGCAGCAGCAGAAGGTGAGGGCACATGGACACAGGAAATCAGCCAGCGAATCAGCATCTCGTGATTGTTATTCGTTTAAGTAGCTGTGATGGGGACTGGGCAGTGGCGACACTGAAGTCACCCAAAGGTACTGTGTGGCTTTTTCTAGTTCTTTTGTCCAGGTGTTGTCCGATTTAAAGTTACTTAAGACACAGAACGTCCTGGTGTCCGTGTGTGACCCAGTGCACATGTCTGTTCCCATTTGATGGCACCCACAAGTTCGTCCAAGTTCAAGCGTGTAGGTGTTGTGCGTGGTGTGTGTGTATGTGCGCCAGGTGTGTGGTTCGTCTGTGCTTGGGCCAGTTGTTGAAAATTGTGGCACCCCTCAAGTCCCGATATTCACTGCCTGAAGGAAAATACCACTATGGGAAACCGTCCCAGGTAAGACATCCAGGAAATGTTTGTTTTCCTCAGAAAGCCACAAAGGCAAAATGGCAGAACACGAGGTAAATTAGTGTGGGAGAAAGAACACAACTTCTGAGGGAGAGATAAAGAGAGTTGAGTTATTGACCCTGGGTCTTCTGAATTGTTGGCCTTTTAAGGAGCAGAATGCTTTTTTCAACTTTTCTAAGGTAGTGTGATGAGTGGCAAGAGTTGTGGGGTTGGCCAGCTGGAGTGTGTGAGTTACTAGCTGGCTGAAATGGTCCAGACAGTAGCTACAGTTTACTGACCCTCTAATATTTTCTCACCTGCCGTGCGACTCCTGGCCGATGGACCTCATGTGCAGCCACACCCATCTGTCAGTGGAGGCCTAGGGGTTGCCGTGATGCTGAACAGGTTTCAGTGGAGCTTCCAGACGAAGACGGACTAGGAAGAGAGGCCTGGCTGGCTATCTAGTTCCAAAAATCGGCCCATGAAAACCCAGTGGCTCACAATGGCCTGATCCATAGCCGATCACGGCGCAGTATTTTGTTCTGTTGTGCATGGGGTCACCATGAGTCGGGGCCAACATGATGGCTGCTAACACCAACAGTATACACCAGGCTTAGTGCTGGACCCTTTACGTTCGTTTTGTCCTGTGATTCTCTGATAACCCTACTGTATCGGTCATTCCCATTTAGAGATGTGGAAATCAGTGTCACTTGTCTAAAGTCATAGCTGCTAAATAGTAGAGCTATGATTGGAACCAATGTCGATCTGACTCCAGCACCTCAGCTGTATCCCACTGGGGTGCTGTGGGAGTAGCTCTCTTCTGGGCAGACCCAAACCTCGGTTCTCATCTTTCTTCACTTCTTATGCTTTGTTGGATTTGGTGGTAGGAGGATGTAGCTGGTCCAAGGAGGTGGGAGTAGAGCTCTCTGAAGACCTTGAAATGAGGGAACTTAAAAGACACTGCAGGGTTCTAGGCTGGGTACTGGCATGGCCCTTTCTGCATTCTCAGAAATTGTTCTGGCTTCCAAGTGGACAGTGGACTGGGGAGGGTGGACTGGAGTTAAAGAGCCCTGGTGGCACAGTGGTTAAAGTGCTCAGCTGTTAACTGAAAGGTCCATGGTTCAAGCCCACTAGCTGCTCTGTGGAAGAAAGATACGGCAGTCTGCTTCCATAAAGATTACAGCCCAGGAAACCCTATGGGGCAGTTCTGCTCTGTCCTAGAGAGTTGCTATCAGTTGGAATGGACCCGACGGTAATGGGTTTGGACTGGAGTTGGGGACATCCATTGGGAGGCTCTTAGTCATCCAGGTGGGTGGTGACATGAACTGGGGACGGTAGAGGGTGAAGAGAAGAGAATGGAGAGGAAGGATAATTAGTGAGTCAATGAATTAGTGAGTGAATGAATGAATGTGAGGGAAGAGGAGGGAGGTAGACCTCAAAGGGAGCCTCTTCTCTTTGAGCTGCTTGAGGTGCATCGGCATCACCTGGAGGGCTTGTTCAAGCACAGGTGACAGGGCTCTACTGACCTTCTGATATAGTAGGTCTAAGGCAGGGCCAGAGAATTTGCATTTCTAACAGGTCCCCAGGTGATGCTGTTACTGCTGGTTTGGGCACCACCCTTTGAGAAGGACTGCAGTAGAGAAATCTTGCTGGGACGCTAAGACCGCTTGATTAAGCCTCCAGGTATCTTCCTGTGGGCTGAAGATTTGAAAGAGGCGGGTTTGACCATGGTCCCAGAGTCTCAGGGACAGCCTGGGGTCTGCGCGGGGGGCACTGCATTCCCACACTGGGAGAGAGAGAGAAAACTCTAGACCTACGCATCTAACGAGAACCCCTGGCTACTCAGGCGTCGTCCGGAGAGAGACAGATTTTCGGGTCTTGCATTAGATAATAAATGTTCGTGTGTCAAAGTCCATTTTTAGAAAAGCAAACAATTTGGAACATGACAGACCTACTAATTTGAGGCATAAACTTTTTTTTTCCCTCTCCCCTTTGAAAACAAAGCCATTATGATCCCCGTGACAGCACTTGGAGGCAGTCAGCATCCCTGTCCTTGTGTCCTCCTGCTATTGTCTGATGCATTTAGAAAATATTTCAAGACAGTCAACAGCATGGGCTTGGAAGCTGTTTTTCTACCCAAAACTGGCTTACCTTACCTGTCCTGCTAAATGCATCTTGATTTATGCCTCCTTCTCTGGGAGGGGAGAAGGGGTCTCAGAGATGGTCAGGTCCAAGTTCTTCTGGGGTCACTGATCTTCCTTTAGGGTTCTCTGTTCAACCTCCCTACCACCACCGGTCAGTTTATTATACTGTGATGGCCTGGGTGTTGCTATGATGCTGGCAGTTATGCCACTGGTATTTCAAATACTAGCAGAGTCACCCTTGATAGGTTTCAGCAGAGCTTCCAGACTAAGACTAGAAAGAAAGGCTTGGCGATCTACTTCTGAAAATTAGCCAGTGAAAACCCGATGGATCATAACAGAATATCGTTTGATATAGCGCTGGAAGATTAACCCCATAGTTTGGAAGGCACTCAAAATACACAGAAGCTGGAACAGTGGATTCAGATATACCAGTGATTGTGAAGATGGTGCAGGACCGGGCAGTGTTTTGTTCTGTTGCACATGGGGTTGTCATGAGTTGGAGCTGACTGGACCACAGCTAACAACAACAACCCAACCTCCAGACCCTGCGTCTACAGCAAGAATGATAACAGTGGGTGTTTGTATTTCCCCAACCTCCCATACTCTGCCACCTCCTAATGGGGAGGGGCAAGCAGGGAATGATGGGCTTAGAACCAGACATACCTGTGTTCCAGTTCTGGCCCATCATTTACAAGTCTGGTTACCTTCAAATCATTCAATCTCTCTGAGCTCCTATTTTCTGATCTGCAAAATGGAGACAATAATATCACCTACTTCCTAGGATGTTGTGAGGATCAGATGAAGGAACAGGCAAAACACGTGTCACAGTACCTGGTATATGGAAAGTAATCAATGCGTGAAGGCTGTTACTGATGTTATTATTACTGTTATTATCAAGGGAGTAAATTAAAGGCTAGGAGAAATCCTGTGGTAATTGTTGTTAGGTGCTGTCAAGTTGGTTCCGACTCATAGCAACCCCACGTACAATAGAACGAAATACTGCCTGGTCCTGCATCATTCTTACCACCATTGCTTTGTTTGAGCCCATTGTTGCAGCCACTGTGTCAATCCATCTTGTTGAGAGTCTTCCTCTTTTTTGCTGACCCTCTACTTTACCGAGTGTGATGTTCTTCTTCCTGGGACTGGCCACTCCTGATAACATGTCCAAAGTATTTGAGATGAAGTCTTGCCATCCTTGCTTCTAAGAAGCATTCTGGCTGTACTTCTTTGAAGATGTATTTGTTTGTTCTTCTGGCAGTCCATGGTATATTCAATATTCTTCACCAACACCATAATTCATAGGCATCAGCTCTTCTTTGGTCTTCATATTCCTTGTTCCATGGTAATAAAATCTGTTAAACTCTGTTTAATCCGTCATTTCGCAAACACTTTTGATGTCTGATCTCTTTTCTCTTAAGAAAGCCCAGTTAACATCTTAACATCCAGTGTCAAAAATGTTGCTGGGAACCTACTTTGGGAGCAAAGAGGGTGAAGGGGAGATGTAGACAGAGGTCACCTGGTGAGTGTGGATAGTGAAGGGGTAGCTGTGACGGAGAAAAGACAACTTTCCTGAAGATGGAAGCTTCCTGTCACCACCTGCATTGACGATAACTCACCTTGGAGAGAACCCTGTCTGCAAGGATAGGACAGGCAAGCAGACCACATGAGTTTGCAGTATTAATTTTTCACTGCCTGAGACTTCTTATGCATGTCGCCCCCTAGTGGTTGGTGGTATTGATCCATCCGTGCCCAACCTTGGGAACTTCTGGAATATTTGTTTAAAACCCAGGACAGAAGAAACCACCTCAAGCCCTGCAGGCTGTCCTAACCAAGACGAATCCATGACTTTGGAAATCTGTTTATTTTGAAAAATAAATCTTTGGAGATGGCCTGTCCCTTAGTCCAGTGCCATGTTGAGACATCAAACTTGGGAAAACTGCCAGCAAAGGACTGTGATTTATTTGATCACTCTGGCTCTGCGGGAGCTAGGCTGTGTCTCTTGTCCAAGCTACACTCTCTCAACTTCCAGTTTCTCCCATTGCCAAAATAGGGGCAATAATAGTATCCACATACCATACAGCTTGGGGGTGATTTTATAAGACAATTTACGTAAAGTTCTTAGCACAGGGCCTGGTATATAATAGATGCTAAATATGTGTAAGTGAGAGCAGTGGTGGTTCAGAGGTAGAATTCTCACCTTGTATACAGGAGACCTGGGTTCGATTCCCAGCCATGGCACCTCATGCACAGCCACCACACATCTGTCAGTGGAGACTCACATGTTGCTGTGATGCTGAACAGGTTTCAGTGGAGCTTCCAGACTTAGATGGACTGGGAAGAAAAGCCTGGTGATCTACTTCTGAAAATCAGCCAGTGAAAACCCTGTGGATCACAATGGTTCAGTTTGCAACTGATCACGCGGATGGTACAGGACCAGGCAGCATTTCATTTCGTTGTGCACAGGGTTGTCATGAGTTGGGTCTGACTTTATGACAACTAAATAAGAACAAGTAAGTTTCAAAGAGACCAACAGTCACAAAGTCACTGTTGACCTCTGCTTCAGAAATAATTC